GACCCCCAGGCACACGCTCTGCGCCCCGTTTCACAGATGAGGACACTGAGGTGCGACGTCCCTTTCCCAGGCCAGTCGGTAGGTGCGGCTGCTCGGCTGCCTCCCTTTAGGTGGGGCGGTCTCATACCCGGCCTCACCCCGGAGTCTCCCTCCTCCTATAGAGCCTGTCTCCAGGTCGGCATCCCTCGCACAGATAGCAGGAGAAGGGACTGATAGTCTTCGAGGGCCCTCAGTGGGGGCAAGGGAGCTCTCCGTACTTTGGAAGGGCAGGGGCGGACCTTCAATCCCAGTGCGGTCTGAGCGCGGGGGAGAAGGGTAGGGAGGAGACGCCTCCTCCTCTTCCTGCCCATTGGCACTGGTGTCCAGAAGTGTCCCAAGTCAAGGACACAATCTCGACAGTTGGAAACTATTGAGTTCCAGGGGCAGCTGCAAGAGTCCTGCGCTTCCTAGGCCCTTCCTTCCTTTGTGGGGCTGAATGAGGCACGAACGCTTTGCAGTGTGCCAGGCAGGCTGAGAGTGGAGGCATAACGGAAATCCACTATAGGATCCCGAGCGAGATCCTGACCCTCTGTGGGCCTCAATTTTCCTATTTGTAAAGTAGGGAGTGGACCAGTGATCCCTCCTCTTCAGCTCTGACATCATGTTTGGGAAGGAGCGGGTTCCCCCAACTCCTTCCGACACACACACTCCAGCAAGAAGAGGGCAAGACTGGAACTGCTGCCCGGGATGCCAGGTTGGCTTCTCTGCGCGGAAAGCACTTCCGAGCTGTGCCCAATCCCCGGGGTTCGCCTCGCCTGCCCTCACTTCCCAGGCCGCAGCCCGTTTCCCCAAGCTGCGGCCGTGAGCGCCCTCTAGTGTCGCTTCTCACACCTTGCAGTTATTTACCAGAATTCCCGTAGGGTGTTTTGTAAAATAAACTATAATAATATTAATGAAAAATATAAAATGTATAGAGTTTTCAAGAAACTGTGTTCTCCTTCAAGAAAATGGTCACTTTAACTTTGTAAATATTTATCTAAAATGATTTACGAAACCGTGATATATATTATTTGACTGTATATGTACAACTGTAAATACATTTGTACCTCTCTTGTATTCTAAAATAAAATTACTTGGAACATTTATTGTTTAGCATCTGAATGGTGGATATTTTTTCCTGCAGGAGAAGGATATATGGAAATTGCTCAGAAGTTGGAAAGGGGACAGTAAGAGTTGTTCTACTTACTGATGTTAAAATCCACTGTTGTTGTTCTGGGTGGTGCCTGTGGCTCAGGGAGTAGGGTGCTGGTCCCGTATACTGAGGGTGGCGGGTTCGAAACCAGCCCCAGCCAAAACTGCAACAACAAAATAAAATAAAAATAAAAAAATAAAATCCACTATTGTACCCTCTGAAAGGGAAAATTCTATCACAATTGGGATTTCAGATCCCAGAGAGACAGACTGCTGTGAAAAGCACATGCAAATCTCAAAAGGGCTGGGTGGCTTTCTCCTGCTTTTTGGCAATGCACTTTGTTACTTCTGCAATATCTTCACTTTTTTCCATTTTCACAGCCTACTTGCAGGGTTCAGTGGGGGTGGGCCAATGCGACCACCAAATGCCCTCCCAATACCTAGAATTTCCAAGTGGTCTGGGCACCCATTTCCAGACCCTGCTCACAAGATGGAAGAGGAGGAAGGCCATCAAGGTGAAGCCAGGGAGCTTCCCAGTCCCTACAGGGCCAAACTGGGCTTTCCTCTGCATGACCTCACTCTGGGAAGAGTGAGTTTATACCTGTGCTCCAGCATGTGCCAGCATGAGAATATCACCCTTCTACCCAGTGGTGCATGCACACACATTTATACACCCACACCTGCAGACACCCAAGAATTCACACTTGTATACACAGGGCATCCCCATTTGGAACTTCAGGTGTGTACTCCCAAAGACAAATACCTTGGAGGATTTGTCTGCTGTCCTGGCAGATGGAGATGTGGTTGAGATGTATGTATATCTGATGAGTTCAATAGAGCCAGTAGGGGAAGTCACCCCCGGTTCTCCACCTCCTCCCAACCCTTGCCTTTCCTTAGATAGCTCACCATCTGGCTCCCAGTGTTTCCAGTGGCCCTTGCGTTACCTCCTCCCATGGCAGCCCCCACCCAGGTCTTGGGTTCCTATGACCAAAGCTTATGAGTCCTAAGTCCCATTCCCTCTGGATGCCAACGGGTTGAACCTCCAGCAAGTGATTCTGGCTTCTGGAAGAAGAGCCTGCAGGAGTCAGACTTCAGAGAAGTCAGTGGGGCCCTTGAATAAACATCTAAATTGCTCTCGTTTCAGTCAGCAGGTCACAGGGCCCATTACCCTGGCTCCAGAACCCAACTGGTGGCAGCCATCTGTAACTGCAGACGAGGTGACTCAGGTTTGGGCACTGACCTGCTTACGTAGCAGTGTGCTGCCCTGCGTGTGCCTGGCACTGGGACACAAAGATGAGCAGATGTGAATTTGTGAATCGTGGTTCTTAGGAATTTGCACACTGGAGGGAGGCCTGACACTGAAAAGCCTAACCTTTTGGCTTGGCACTTGTAGCACAGTGGTTATGGCGCCAGCCACATGCACTGAGGTTGGCAGGTTTGAACCCAGCCCAGCTCAGCTAAATAACAATGACAGCTGCAACAACAACAAAAACAAAAAATAGCTTGGCATTGTGACAAGTACCTGTAGTCCCAGCTACCTGGGAGGCTGAGGCAAGAGAATCGCTTAAGCCCAAGGGTTTGAGGTTGCTGTGAGCTGTGATTTGACAGCACTCTACAATTGAGACTCTGTTTCAAAAAAAGAAAAGCCTAAACTTTTACTTTGCTTGCATTTCCATAAGAGGTCTCAAGCCCTTCTCCTGAGAGTGTAGTTTCACTGCAGACAAAGGCATGCAGACACAGTCTCAGGAATCTTCTGTGGGCCAGCCCTGGGCTTAGGGGTTTAAATATTCCAGGAATCATCCCCACAAACTCACAAGCTGATACTTCCCTGCCCCCTCATCATGCACTTTTAATTAACATCCATCTGAAGAATGAGAAAACTGAGGCATAGAAAGAGTCCATCATGGCTCAGCGCCTGTGGCTCAAGTGGCTAAGGTGCCAGCCACATACACCAGAACTGATGGGTTCGAATCTGGTCCGGGCCTGCCAAACTGACAACTACAACCAAAAAATAGCTGGGCATTGTGGCTGACACCTGTAGTCCCAGCTACTTGAGAGGCTGAGGCAAGAGAATTACTTAAGCCCAGGAGTTGGAGATTGCTGTGAGCTGTGATACTAGGGCACTCTACCCCTCAGGGCAATAGCTTGAGGCTCTGTCTCAAAAGAAAAAAAAAAAAAAAGGATAACAGGGGCCCCTATCACTGGCACAGAAATGACTGTCAGAAAGAAGGAACTTTGTTATACTCACAGTTTCCTAAAAGTAGGAGGCAGGGCACACAGGGAGGCACAGGGATGGGTCAGGAGGTCAAAGGAGTGAGAAGAAACTGAGTGAGAGTGTTTATTGTGGTTTCCATGTGAAGGGATGGGTAAGGCAGGGTGGCCAGTTTAAGACTGGTTAGTTTAATTCACTTCTCAATGCTCTGGGGCACAGGGGTTGTACCTGGTTGTCTAATACCCAGCTCTGGGGTGATCAGGGCAGGTGGATAGTTGCCTAAAGTGTAAGAAGCCCCAACAGGTGAGGGTGTGGGCTCTGAATTGGGTGGTTTGCATTTGAAAGACCTCCTCCTGGGTGAGCTGTTCACCATCTCTAGAATTGGTTAACCCTGGCTTGAGCAGACAGTCCCTCCAGGGTAAGCAAGGCCCCAGACCTCAAAGTATCAGAGTACAGAATCAGAGACACGGCTGATAGCAGGGCCTCTACGTATCAAGCCCAGTTCTAGCAGCCAGGCAGTGAACGTAACAGAATCTGGGTATTTGTGGGGCTCAGATCCTGTGGGGAAGATAGATAATGAGCAAACAAAAAACCAAAACCAAATAGGTATTTTATAAATAGATCTTATTTTTTTTCTTTTTAAAATTGTTTTTTAGGCTCGGTGCCTGTAGCTCAGCAGCTAGGGCACCAGCCACATACACTAGAGCTAGTGGATTCAAACTCAATCCCAGCCTGCCTAATAACAATGACAACTACAACCAAAAAATAGCCGGGGGTGCCGGCCCCATATTCCGAGGGTTGAGAGTTCAAACCCAGCCCCGGCCAAACTGCAACAAAAAAATAGCTGAGTGTTGTGGCAGGTGCCTGTAGTCCCAGCTACTTGGGAGGCTGAGGCAAGAGCTTAAGTTCAAGAGCTTGAGGTTGCTGTGTGCCGTGACACCGCGACACTCTACCAAAAAGAAATAATAATAATTAAAAAATAAATAAATAAGGGCAGCCCCTGTGGCTCCGTGGGTAGGGGACCAGCCCCATGTACCGAGGGTGGTGGGTTTGAGCCTGGCTCCAGCCAAACTGCAACAGAAAAACAGCCGGGCGTTGTAGTGAGTGCCTGTAGTCCTAGCTACTCAGGAGGCTGAGGTAAGAGAATCGCCTAAGCCCAAGGAGTTGGAGGCTGCTGTGATCTGTGATGCCACAGCACTCTACTGAGGGCTAATAAGTGAAATTCTGCCTCTAAATAAATAAATAAATAAATAAGGGTGGTGTCTGTGGCTGAAAGGAATAGGGCGCTGGCCCCATATGCCAGAGGTGATGGGTTCAAACCTAGCCCCGGCTAAAAACTGCAAATAAATAAATAAATAAATAAATAAAATTATTTTAAAATAAAATTGTTTTTTAAAATTTCAGATTGAGGGGGTGCCTGTGGCTCAAGGGAGTAGGGCACTGGCCCCGTATATCGGAGGTGGTGGATTCAAACCCAGCCCTGGCCCAAAACTGCAAAATAAAATAAAACAAAATAATAAAATTTCAGATTAGGGTGAGCACCTGTAGTTCAGTGGCTAGGGCACCAGCCACATATACTGGAGCTGGCGGGTTTGAATCCAGCCCAGGCCTGCCAAACAACAATGACAACTACAACCAAAAAATAGCCGGGCATTGTGGTGGGCACCTGTAGTCCCAGCTACTTCGGAGTCTAAGGCAAGAGAATTGCTCAAGCCCAGGAGTTGGAGGCTGCTGTGAGCAGCAATGCCACAGCACTCTACCAAGGGCGACAAAGTGAGATTCTGTCTCAAAAAAAAAAAAAAAATATATATATATATATATATATCTCTTAGCTTCCAGCCCTGTTTTCTGTCTGGGCAGTGGGTGTCCAATTTGGCATCTGCAGTACACCATGCATATTATCCATGTCTTGAGCCAGGCCTGCTATCCCCCTATTGGGCAGCTGAGGACAGAGATGTGGTGACTCACCCTGTTACAGACCATATGCAGGTGAAGTGGCAGTACATGCTAAACTGTAAGCTCCATGAGGGCAAGGCTCTTTGTTTTGTTCTCTTATGTGTCCCAAGTACTCGGGACAATATCTAGCACATAATAGGTATTCAATAAATATTTGGTGAATTAAAGAAAAAAAGTGAGGAGGATGGTGCCTATGGTTCAGTAAGTAGGGTGCTGGCCCCATATACCAAGGGTGGCGGGTTCAAACCCAGCCTGGCCAAACTGCAACAACAACAACAACAAAATAGCCAGGCGTTGTGAAGCACGCCTGTAGTCCCAGCTACTTGGGAGGCTGAGGCAAGAGAATCACCTAAGCCCAAGAGCTGGAGATTGCTGTGAACTATGACTCCACGGCACTCTACTGAGGGTGACAAAGTAAGACTCGGTCTCTAAAGAAAAAAAAAGTGAGGAATAGGCTGGGTGCAGTAACTCACACCTGTAATCCTAGCACTCTGTGAGGTCAAGGTGGGTAGACTGTATGAGTTCAGGAGTTTGAGACCAGCCTGAGCAAGAATGGGATCACTTATCTATTAAAAATAGAAAAAACTAGCTGGGCATGGTGGCAAGTACCTGTGGTCCCAGGTACTTGGGAGGCTGAAGCAGGAGAATTGCCCAAGCCCAGGAGTTTGAAGTTGCTCTGAGCTACAATGCCATGGCACACTAGCTAGAGCAACAGAGTGAGACTCTGTCTCAAAATAAATAAATAAATATAAAAAAATTAAAGAATTGAGGAATAAATAATGATGCTGTAAACTACTTGGGAAATGTTTAGTAAACGGTGCAGGCACTGGGCTAGGACATATACAGTTGGAACAAACATTGACCTTGTGGCATTTGCTATGTGAATTCTAGTCCTTTTTTGGCCTCAGTTTTCTCCTCTATAAATGCCAACCTTGTGATGGGCTTATGAATGTAAGTGCTATGGCAATGGCTGGGGTTAAGGCTGTGTCCAGGCCTCCTGGGATGAAACTGGGTGATGCCCCCTTGGTCTAGGGACTCTCTACCGGCCTTGCTCCGTACTCCTTGGACTATCTTAGTTAAAAGGACACCATCGCCCTCTTATGGCTGCAGCCCCACTCAACAACTGGGCTGTTATTTGCAATTTTTTGGTTCTAGCCAGGCAAAGAGGCCAAAGGCCTGGCCTGCCCACTTCCCTATGACCTATGGGGCACCAGCATTTATGCTATCACTGCCTGGAAGGGTCGATGTTCTTGACAAGTGTAGTCATCAGCCTTGCTCAAGTGAAAGAAATGCTCTCTTTCTGAAGATTTATAAAACAGTTGGCCTGATGGATCTTCAGAAGGCAGTGGACTTAATTTATTGACCACAACATGAGTGAATGATGCAAATTACCTCCTTTAATCCTCTTCAGAGGCTCTCTGCATGGAGAATTATCATTTCCAGTTCCCTCAGGTTGAAACAGTTTGCTGTGAATGTAAGGGAAACGCTCCCATTAAACAGAGCCATAAAAAAGGCCTTATAGTAAGGTGCCCAGATTTTAATATTGGTAAAGCGGGACACCATGGGGGGGGCGCGGTTCTTAATTCAAAATTTGGTCTATAGGGAGCAACAAAAATTTTCATAGAATGAAAAAACAGTATTGTAATATATATGTTTTTAATTTCAACATAAGTACAATTTACAAATATAATACATTAAAAAAATTATGTATAGGGCGGTGCCTGTGGCTCAAAGGAGTAGGGCAGGAGGGGAGTAGGGAATTTACATTTAGCCTTTTCATTTCCAAATGAATTTACATTAACCTCTTCATTCCCAAATGGAGTTACATTAACCTTTTCAGCAGCCGAAAACCATATATTCCATATATTCCCTTCCCATTGTCCCGCAGTTCCCTAGCTTGTCATGCAGTCTTTCCAAAAATCGAGACTTTTTTAAAACTCCGAGGGACGCGGGACAAATTGTTCAAAAGTGGGACTGTCCCACCAAAAGCGGACGTCTGGTCACCTTACCTTATAGACATCTCTCTACCCGCCAGTGCCCAGCACACAGAGAGCACTCAAGTGGCTGTAAGAGCAAAGGCAAGTGAAGATCTTCATACTATGAGTCCATTTGCCTCCCCACAAACTATTCCTATCTTCCAAGGTTTGATCTGTTTTCTTAGATGGTTTTTCCTCTCTCTCTCTTTTTTCAAAAGAAATGTTAGCGTTAGATAATTGCCTCAGAAAGCCCCCTCCCACCTCAAAAGCCCCTTCCTACCCTTAAAGTTACAACTCCTCCCCTAACACAGGGAGTGGCCCGCTTGCCTCATCACCCTGTTCCTATTTCCCACTGCCTCCCCTATGGCTCTTTCTGCCAGAGCAATAACTCCTTATTGGTTATCTCACCAGCCCCTCACCATTCTGAGATTTCCCTATATAAGGGTTCGTGTCTGCTCCCTTCTTTCTATTCCCCGCGCCCTTTTTCTCTACTCTCTCTTCTCTTCCCCTCTCTCCTTATCTTTCTCCCGTCTTTTCTCTCCTCCTTGGTGCTGCTCTGCAGCCTCCCCTCCCCCACCAATAAAGACCTTTCGTACAAACCTCCGTGGTCTGTGAGATCTCTGCCACTCGAAGTACCTCTCTTTCAGTTAGAGTAAGTCAGCTCACCCCAAAGAGGTCTTTACTAAAGAATACAACCAACTGAGTATTATCTGGAACACTATTTAGGGGTGCAGAAGCACCCACAACTCTGCAGCAATGTAGAATGTGTCACAGCAATGTGTCCTGGGCTACTAGAATAGGGTGACCAGACGTCCCGCTTTTGGCGGGACAGTCCTGCTTTTTAACAATTTGTCCCGCAGCGTTTTAAAAAAGTCTCGAATTTGGGAAAGAATGCAGGAAGGGGCGGGAGAACAGGAAGGGAATATACAGTCTTCGGCTGCTATGTGGCTTTTTCGCCAGAATATGAGTTTCATATTATTTTTGTTAATTTTATAATGTTAAACTGTAATAATAACAAATAATTGTTGAGAAGTGATTATCGAGAACTGCTTATCAAAGTCTGCATTGTTGTCAGGCCCCGCCCCCCCGGCCATGTTGTCCCGCTTTACAAAAGTTAAAATCTGGTCACCCTATACTAGACCGGTCTGAAAAGGGGGTCTTCTCTCTGGTCCCTGTAGATCTCACCTCCAGATCCTTCTGAGCTGTCTCATACAAATCAGGTTTTAGCTGCTTACAGTTAGACAGAAACCCAGACTGTTCCTCAATTATCTCTAATTCTGGTGAACAAAAATTGGGATGATTAGTATGAGATATTTTTAGTAAAAAGTTACACAGTTTACGATGCCAGGTTTTTTTTTTTTTTTTTTTGAGACGGAGCCTCAAGCTATCCCCCTGGGTAGAGTGCTGTGGCATCACAGCTCACAGCAACCTCCAACTCCTGGGCTCAAGCGAGTCTCCTGCCTCAGTCTCCCAAGTAGCTGGGACCAAAGGCGCCCGCTACAACGCCTGGCTACTTTTTGGTTGCAGCCATCGTTGTTGTTTGGCGGCCCAGGCTGGATTCCAACTGCCAGCTCAGGTGTATGTGGCTGGCACCTTAGCCACTTGAGCCACAGGCGCCGAGCCACCAGGTATTTATTTATTTATTTATTTAATTGCATGGATTCTTTCTTGCCAATAGTAAACACGTCAACTCGGTTCCCTCCTTCCCTTCAGGTTAACCTAATGGTTGCCAATAGTCAACATGGCCGCCATGCTCTGCGCTCCGGGCCGCTGGTGCCCGGAAGCCCCGCCCCTCCGGGTGCGCCTGGGAATTGCGGAGCCGGATGTTGCCCCTTCCCGTATCGAGCTGCGCCTGCGCAAGCTATTGGCGCCAAGATGGCGATGGAGATGAGGCTTCCAGTAGCTCGGAAGCGGCTTAGCGAGAGTCTCGGGCGGGAGACTAAGAAACACCTAGTGGTGCCGGGGGACACGATCACTACGGACACCGGCTTCATGCGGTATGTGGGGACTTGGGAAACCCAGGGCCGCAGAGTGCGGCTGCAGGGCTCTCTGCACGCGGCCTGCTGGCCAGAAACCCGACTTTTGACTCCTTGCGTCTAACTCCCTGTGGTACCCAGGGCTCATGTCCTGAGCGTCCCAGTCGCCTAGATTACGAGCCTCGTGCTTTTTACTCCTCGCGTATTGGGTCCCCGTCTGCGTTTGTCTCAGTCCCTTAAAACTCTCCTGTCTTGACCTCCAGGGGACCTGATTTTTGGGTCTTCTTGAAGCCCACATCTTATAGCCTTTCTAGTTGGAGACCTGGAAAACGGGAGGGGTAGGAATAGGAGTTTCTTTCCAGTTTCCAGCTAAGGGGACAGTGGGTTTACCAGACGTAGTTTTCTTCTCCCTCAGCATCATCTCCCAGCTAGGGATTCGGTTTTGGAATCAATAACTGATTGGGCTTAGAGCAAACAGATGTACTGTGCTACATGCACCCAAATACACAATCTTTGATTCTAAGAGCACTGTAGTGTGTTGTAGTTGAGAGGGCAGGCTCTTGAGTCAGACACTCAAGGTTCCAATTCTGCCTCCACCGCATCTTATTAGCTATATTACCACTTCAATGTCAGTTTTTTTCTCATCTAAAAGATAGTTATGATAATGTTTAATAGGGTATTGAGAACTAAATGAGATAATAGTGTAAAAAAAGAAGCAAACCCTCCATTTTATCACGATCAGAGATAAAAACACTAGAGGTATTTCAACCCTTTTTTTGAACACAAGTACATGTACAAGAGGTACAGCATTTATAGTATTGCCTTTTAATCTCTTAGTTTATGATTACGGGAGCCTAGGAAATCTTCAGATTCATTCATGTTTTCAACATACATTCTGTGCATGGGGTATGACTGTGTTGGGGTATAACTGAACAAAATGAAGATCTCTGGTGGTGTTCTATCACCGAGAGACAGATGATAAATACAGCAAAGAAGTTACACAGAATGTTAGGCAATAAATGCAATGGGGAAATAAGTGGAATGTGGTTGGGAATATGGCGGGAATGAAAGCAATGGGGTACAATACTTTTCTTTTTTGTTTGTTTGTTTGTTTGTTTGTTTGTTTGTTTTGAGACAGAGCCTCAAGCTGTCCCCCTGGGCAGAGTGCCATGGCATTACAGCTCACAGCAACCTCCAATTCCTGGGCTCAAGCGAGTCTCCT